CTCGGATTTCATGTTATCGAGAAGTGGAGGCATTTCAGTAGGATTTCCTTCTAAATTATCACAAATTCCAAAATGATCACATGTATATGCTGACTCCGAAGGAGCCGGTGATAAGTATGAAAAGTAGGGACTTAAAGCAACTGAAGAACGGTCGAATAGTCAGAACATTCTGAATTCAGTTTTCAGCTATGAAACCTGGTCATTCGGATAATTTTCTGAGCTCCATTGCGACACTCGTTTCGAAAACTGTGAGTTCATCTTCCTCTCCGTCAGCAGTTATCATCGCATTGTAAATTTGCTACAGTCAGTATGATAGGTTTTATTTTTTCTTCTTTGTCGGTGGGGAAAGCTTGGAGTTACACCAACTCTGGCCTGTAGTTAAAGTAGTGGTGTGTTGGCATCATCGTGAGTTTTGAGAGACCAAATCTTAAAATATTTTCAATTTTGGTACCTAATGACCAAATTTTCTGTATTATGCACTTTTAGAATTGTTTTTAGCTTCCAGCGAGCCATGACAAAAGGGGTATTCCTGGGGGCTATTGATGGGGATAATGGGGATTTTATCTAGTGCAAAAGCCACTGTATTTCTACACCCCATTTTGATATTTCGACGAAATTGATCTTCAGCATTCTTCTACATGTCCGGCCAATCGGCACTCGTTCATCTGACATTCCTCAAGACTGTTTCTGTCGAAACGGCTATCCTCGTTGGTTTGTGCAAACACGTTTCGGCATTTCGACGTGTATAGTTAGTTATTGGTAGTGGGTTATTTTCCGATAGTGTTTGTAAAATGTGAAGAAGTCAACAAATCGACCCTCGGGTCAACTTAAAATTGTCGATCATCTGATATACCAAACCAGCTAGACGAAGAGGACAAGGATGATTCGAGACTCCCAGCCTACAAAGATTAGACCTCAATTGATTAAAACTTTTTTTAAAGAAATTAAGGTGGTGTGAGTACATCGAATCCTTTTTCTGTAAACGATTTTTATACTCACAAAATTCCTGAGATTACAGCAATCCTTTACAAATAGTGAAAAGTTTAATCTTTTTTGTTTTAATTTTACATTTTACTTGACGGAGATCTGTTTATGATAAAGAAGAAGATAAACTGCTGCTAAGAGAATTTATTCGAAATGCAAGCTGAAGAAATAATTTTATATTGTTTCACTATGACTATTGAAAATTAAACCTAAATAAATAGTTAATAAAAAATATTTTTAATGTCTGTTGGTTTTTGGTTTTTTGGAGGGGGGGATTTTCAGTCAAAAAGTGACACCACTCGTTTCACTTACATTTATTTAACCGACGTTTCGGAGGATATACCTCCTTTTTCAAGGTATAGAAGAGAAACGCCTACAACAAACAAATACATTTAGTTTTTTGATCCCAAGGTGTTTGTAATATAAAATCAAAAACTAAATGTATTTGTATGTTGTAGGCGTTTCTCTTGTATACCTTGAGAAAAGAGGTATATCCTCCGAAACGTCGGTGAAATAAATGTAAGTGAAACGAGTGGTGTCACTTTTTGATTGAAAATCCCCCCCCCCAAAAAAAAAACAGAGACATTATAATTGAACAGTCATTATATTCATCGATATTTAAAAAAAATTTTAAACTTGATGTTAAGAGAACAGTTCAGTAGAAATACAGATAATAATGTTTTAAAGTATATTGCATCATTAGATCGCTGAAGATGGTTGAAAAGCTGAAAAACTTAGATTTCCTTTTGTATTTCCTTCTACTGAGTTTACAAAAAACGTTATTCATGATTAGGCTGATCTACAGAGTTAAATTTCCCGTTGAAAGTAAATTTAGTTCATACATATGCTTAAAAATAATGTATAGAAACGTAGGATATTGCCAGATAATATCACTACTTACTAAGGTGCCTTATGAAAATATTTTTTTTTTAATGCATTTTGGGTTATAATTCAACACTATATCTATGACATTTGCATCTGTAAAGACTTATTTGCACTGAGGAATGAGAACGATCAAGGAAAGTGCGCCGTATTTCGAATGGTTAGATTACCATGTAATGCATTACTGTAATCCGCAGTAGAAAAGTAAAAAACTGATTTGTTATCTTTGTTCCGAAAAGGTTTTTGGAATTAAATATATGCTTGTGTGAGCAGTTATATTTGATCTCAATAGCATATAACGGGCAATTATTATTTTAAAATTTGTTCAAGCCGTATTTAATAACACAATAAATTTGTAATGTGGTTCTATTTGACATCACCACTTTGATCTTTCAGATGCATTTTGACTTTTCGAAATTTTCGATGGCGGTAAAAGCAAGGCTTGCCGGATTAGAATGATCAGAAATGGCCAAATTACTGGCTTATCACACTGTAGACCTCATGAAGAATAGAGGAAAAAACAGATTTCGATGTACATTACTGGAGTTGGAATTTTTTTCCAGACTCGAGAAAAAGGAAGAATATATCATGGGAAAGAAAAAACGGCAGACGACGGGATAATGTATGCTATTTTGATGTCCAGAGTTTTTCAGATTACGACTTTTTTCCTTTATCTGGCGGAAGATAATTGAAGAAAAGGCGTGCCCGTGAACCTTGAATCGGTACATTTTGGCTATCGCACAATACAACCGATTTTATCCCAACGACTTTAAACCTGTTTTTATCCTATTGGAGTTATACTAATAAAAGGAAAAAAAATACTTATCCACTTAAACGTTCGTTCGATGACGCCTGAGCGAACCTTGAGGTGTATAAGGTGAAATTGATTGTTGCACTTGCAACACGCTTCGTTCAGTGACCTCAGCATAAAGCCAGGTTGTACAGAAATAAGCATTTGTACCATGGTTACGCATGAGGTACCCAGTTCACAAAACAAACTTTAACACAGCACCGTTTAGATCTTAAAAGTGCATTAATGCTCGAGAAAGCGCGAGTCATTTTTAACCGGTTGCACTTCAAACTCGAAATGGCTCATTGTGGTGCAAATGCAACCTTTTCACGTAGCGCTCTGGTGAAAACCCACCGCTGAAAGTTAATGGCATGCTACAGAAGAAGCTAAACCTATATTTTCTTAAGACGTCTTAAGCAATTGATACCATACGATCTATTGAATATGCTGTTCAAAAGTCCTGTGGGAGGGATATTTCAATTAGAAATTTTAAAAACATTTCACCCCAAACAAATCAAAACTATTATAAATCGAACACCAACTAGAAAGTCATCTGGTGGAGAGATGACAGTACAAAGCATCACTTAGAAACTCCGTTGTACTAATAACCCTACACAGAGGGACATTCCAATCAGAAATTTTAGAAAAATTTCACCTCAAGCAAATCAAAAATATTATAAATCGAACACCAACTAGAAAACCACCTGGTGGGGTGATGAATGTTCAAAGCATCAATTAGAAATGCCGTTGTACGATTAATACTATGATGCCATCATTCCGGTGGTTTATTTCCCAAAAGAAGGTATAAATAATAAACTTACTACCTTGGTGCAGGGGTAAAATGCTCCGGGATATTTCATAGTTTACTGTCATTTTTGTTTCCCTATCCTCGTTATTTTGGTCTCAGCACAGCATTTGGAGCTTGATTTTTTGTCGCCTCTCATCATCATGGTCCGCCTAGCCTCGCTGTTTTGGTCTGTCCGATAAGTTTCGGCAAACCAGTGGAACTAAATGCTATTCTCAATGCAACACTTAGAGCGTGAACTATGTTTGTCGTCATGGTCATCACGGTCTACCTTTCCTCGCTTTTTGATCTGTTCGACGAGCTTAGGATTCTTGCTATCGTGAGTGACGCAATACAGTGGTAACTGAATGCTATTGTTAGTACTTCACTTAGAGCTTTAACTTTTTTTTGTCGTCTCTTGTCTTTACGGTGCGCCTTTCCTTGCTAAAGAAGGCGAGAAGCGGAAAAATCTGACGCACAGCTGAAAAAGGCAAACCTATATTATCGGAAATGACAGATTCATCACCCCGAAGACCCCAAGAGATAATCTTGTTAAGGATTTCAAGTTTATAGTTTCCTGGTTTCCAGATCATTTTTTACATGGAAGAAGCGTGCTAAAATGTATGATACCTTCGACATCAAAAATCCCCGAGTGTCCGTTTTTGACATAATAGCGTCCTTCCTAGCTGATAGAATTTTTAGAAGTATAACACATCTTCACAGTCTAAATTAAAAATAATTTCTGAAACCCATGAAAGTTTACATATGAAGTGATACAAAGCTACACAAAGGATATTATCGACTACCCATATTTAGCCCAATTATTTTTTAGAATTTTGCATAGAATAATTCAAAACTTATACGCTAAAAATGCACATAAAATAACGCATCATCCTTCTTTCCTTCCTTGACGACGGAATAATTTTTGGTTGTCTACCAGAAATTATTACTTGTGCAGATAATAAAAAACTCTTCTGGTTTAAAAGCCTCCATCCAAAAATTCGGCTTTATCAGGGATTCTCTGACGACGTCTTATTTTCATTGCCTCCTTGCTTAGTATTCATTTTTACGAGTATAACTTTTTATTTATTAAATACAAATTATTATTATTTATATATAATATAACGTATTGATCGACAGTAGTAAGAATTAGTTTTCTTTGTATAATCTTTGACTTTGGACTACATAAACAAATCTCTGCCGAAATATATAAAAATTGTAATTACTAGTAGATTAGTAATAAAATTGTTTTCACATTTTAGTTCAAGTTGAAAAAATATTTTTGGCTAAAAACAGTATTAGTATAGACCTCACAGTGCTATTGCACCTTACTATTTACACTATTATAGGCATTGAATATTCAGCATGTTGAATACCATAATGTTTGCTGTTGCTTCAAATGTATAGCAAAACTGTTTTTTAACTGTTGCCCTGCAACAACTTGGACTTCAATAAGCAATTTAAAGAGAAAGTAATGTAAGTAAATAATTTAAAAAGTTTTATTTACAAAAAACATATTTGTATGTTTGTACATTGTCTGTACAAGAAGAAGATTGCCTAGTAGTAGAGAGCTGGTGAAGCGAGGCCAAAAGGACTAGTGTATTTGGCAAACGGAGCGGCATATCCGAGGCCAGAGGCATATCCAAGACCAGCAGGATACGCCAAAGGATTCGCAAAGTCGGCACGGGCATATCCCAGGCCGAAAGGGGCCGCTGCGAGTGGCGCTGCGTAACCTAGTCCCACTTGCGAAGGAACGGCATAAGGAACAGCTGGTGCGGCGACCTTAGCGACGACGGGGGCGGCATGTGCAACGACGGGGGCGGCGACGGCGGCTTTGACTACAGCGCCTTCTTTATGTACAACTGCGTTGAATCCGTTGACTGGGTCGGCGGTGTAGTCGACGATACGTCGAGTACCGTCTGCCTCTATGAGGGAGTAGCTGCCCTGGACGACGTCTCCGTCTCGGGTTTCCTGTTGGCTCTTGGAGTCGCCGGTCAAAGCGTCCTGCACATCGTAAGCGAAGCTGTATTGTGGATGTGGGTCGTACGTGTTATGGACAACAGTCCTGGCGACGGGTGCTGCCAGTGCGACAGGTGCTGGTACTGCTGGAGCTGCTACTCGTGCAGCAAAACTAACTGGTGCAGCTACAGGAGCCGCCAACCCGGTGTAAGATAAAGGAGAAACGACTCCAGCCCTGGCCACTGCCAATAAAGCAGCAAATATTACAACCTAAAACAAAAAAATTACGCCAATTGAAAACAACCCCGTTTATAAATCCAAATTAATGATTGTCAAAAAAATTATAGCCACTTTTCATGCAGATAATCATAGTGCTTTCTATCTCAATAATTCATAATAGTATACCTTACAATAATTAAGAAATAATACCAAAAATGGCGGTGGCCATATTTTTTTTAAATTTCTACTCCTAATTTTCTATGGTTTTTATTTTATTAGCCATTTAGTGCTAGTTATTTATTAGTCATTCTAACACACTTAACCTACGTGAATTTTCATTAAAAATAAATTTTAGATGATCTTATTGAGTGACATAGGCTCTGATCGACAGTAGTATAATTGGACAGTTAACTTTATTTTTCTGATGAAGACAAAAGTATATTTATTTATTTACATATGTATTAAACAAAGATCTGTTATTCAAAAACTAATTTTATATTTTCATTGACTTGTCTTAGCCAACCAAGTCTTCACAAGTCATGATAGTACATTCGGATACATTAATCTTAACACATCAACACTGGGTAAAATTTCACGAATATTTAATTTATGAGGCAAAATTTAACATTATTTAAGAAATATTGTAATGTAATCTGCTTTCAATTTAGTTTAAAATATAGACTTATGCCTAAGAGAAATTTTTAAAAAGCTGGTTGTTTTCTGCCAAAAAAGTTGATACCATGTTGTTTGAATTGCGTACGATGTATTTCCATTTAGGATGTTAATTGAAATTAGAAAATTAATAAATTACACCCCTCTGAAAAAAAGATACGCCCAGAGGAAATTTGTCCTTAAGACCAAGTAATAAGTGCCGTCTCCATTACAAACAAAATACAAAATTTTTACCTTTAAAGACATGTTGCGGGCCGATGAGCTGTCAGTACTGTGTGTCCATATGTCCGGGCCCCAGGAAACTTATATATTCCGAGGGCTTACCGTGTCGTAATGGTGCCCCACCTTGCGATGTCCAGCTCTTCCCTTTAATGTAACAATGTCGCATTTCGCAACTATTGTTAAAATTTTGCGTCTTATTGCCGGTCGCTAGTTTTGTTACGTTCTGACCGTTTGTGCCTGGTACTACAATTTTGAATGACGGCGGTGGTTTTGTTAAGGATTAGAATCTTGATGGTGATCACTCTTTGGAACAAATCTACAGTCCAGGTTAAAGAAATTTGTATTCCAAACAGTGTTGTTATTTAATTCGAGAAGTTATGTGGAATGGGTATTGGAATTGTCATTTTCAACTGGAACAACTAACCAAAAACTATATTAAATCAAAACCTATAATTTTATTTATAATCACAGTTATGGCTGGGTTATAACAATGAGAGGCAAAAACGCCGCCACCCTTGTTTTAAATAAAAATATATAGTTATATAACTAAATCAAAAATTACATTCTGTAAAACAATTTTAACAAAAATGTTGCTATGGAAGCAATGTAGAAAACGTGTGGTAATTAGTGACCGTTAGTCGATGATTATTCAGAAATCGTGAGAAGCCGTCTGGTGTGATGTAGGTTTCAGAAAAACATTTTCTTTATCGAGCCAACGTTTTATATCTTTATTGAGATCATCATCATTCTTGATCAATCATCACAACCTACATCACACCAGACCGCATCTCACGATATCTGAATAATCAATGAACAAAATATTCAATAAAGTACGGAGCATTTTCTCCTCTTGCTTTGATCACCGCTTCCATTCGATGTGGCATCGATTTTATGAGGTTTTTAATGTAGTGGTCTGGAATATTTTCTTATTCTGCCAACAACGCCATTCTTAATTCGTGCAAATTCTCTGGCATAACTAGGCGACTTTTTACCCTCTTTGACAACTCGTCCCAAAGATGTTCGATAGGATTTGTGTTGCGTCTACATGCTGGCCACTACAAACATTGAATTGAAGCCCGTTCCAAGTAGTCACCAATGATCCTAGCTATGTCGGGCCATGCATTGTCACGCATAGAAATAAAGCCGTCACCAAATAGTGACATATAATGAATAACTTCCGATAATGCATCTTCAATATCGCGCTGTCTGGGTACCCTCAATGGAGAGCAAGTTTGTGCGACCTTCCAGAGAAATGTCTGCTCAAACCATACATAACACCATCACCTCCACGGCTGTTCTTTGCCTTGTCAGAAGTTGTGGACCAGTGGTACGCCTTCTCGCACGTAATGCAGCTTCTGAAAGCCTTCGTCTTACCGTGCTTAAACTGAAATTACCATTTCTAACTTGATGAAGTCTCGTCCACATATTTTCTTTAGATACAGGTCTTTTTTAATTGTTGCTCGCATTTTGTGTTTTTTCCTTCCTCTTGTCCTCCTCCTTATAGCTTGGTATGGTTTAGGTGAGTATTTAAGATTTTTCAACGCTATTTTTTATGATTTTGGATCGTACTTTATCAAATATATTTTATTCTGGCCGCTGCAATTATAATTCAAAAATAAGTTTTTCAAACCTTTTTCACTAGGTTCTTATCCTACCATATATTCTAGGACTCTAGTTTCTGTTAGGTCAGTTGTAGGCGCAGAAAAAATAGTTCAACAGGATTGGATTGATATTTTGCTGAAAAATTTTATCAGGCTCTTTGCTTTTCTTAACCTTGATACAATTCTTTTGGCATGCAGGACCTCACCCCTGTACACTTTCCACCTTGGGTGAGCTATCGTGAAATTCATCGGAACTGATTTGATCTGATCTATTCCACACATCGGGTTATGAAATCCATGCATAGTATGATTTAATCATGACCCCACGAGTAACTATTCGATCACAACAAAGCTGAATTATTCCAGGCTGAAACAGATGAACGATATTTTTTATTTAATCTATCAATTTGTTAAGCTTCAAACTCCCTCAAGATATTTTTCTGTACAAATTGATGATCTCGTGTAGCTTCCTTTCTGGGGTCTTGTCATGTAGGATAAACATCGCCAACCTGGGGTCGTGCGAACAAGTTTCTTATGGTTGTACATATATCGGAACAGCACACTGACAAGCATGTCATTTCTTTGAGCTCTGCGTTTGATCATTATCTAAAGAATGGACGGAGTTACAGGCACGAGAGAGTTAAGAACGTTCTCCTGTAACTAAGATAATTTGTAATGCGTTTTCCTAATAAAATACTAAAAAAAGTTATTAATGTTAGCATGTTATTAATTTTTTAAAATCCTTGAATGTAACTGTTATACAGGACCTATATTGCAAAATAGTATACATTCCAACTAATATTTATCATCTTTTCATCTTATATAGAACAAACATCTAAACACGATCCTGTCACAAATAAAACCTGTTTTAATTTTTATATAAATGAACCAACCTAAGGAGAAGAATTATGACCTCAACCGTTGAGAGGACAACCATAGCCTTACAGCTGCGTATAAAAAAAAAGTTAGAAATGTACTAAAGTAATCGTTTTATTTTTCAAGCATTACAAACAAAATTTTTGTATTGCAAAATAAAAATCAATTTCAAAACTGTCGTTTAAACACTTTAAATCTCTGTAAAACTATTTCTGAAAAATGAATATGTAAACCTTTTTGATGTGCTTGTCGACTTTCTCGAGTTTTAAGAAAAAGTTGTATTCGGTTGTCAAACCCATTGGCTAAGTTAGACTAGAGCTTAGATTACATGGACGATGGAAGTTATCTAGACGTCGTATCACGACAAGACTGCGGACGGTGAAAATAGCAGTTTTGTGAAATTTTGGACAAAGTGTGCAAATTCCCAATTCAAAAATGAAACGATTTATCTCAATGTTTATACTATTTGATTGACAATTATATAAATTATATAGATTTGGTTATATTTACCTCTGATAAATTAGCAAATTAGACAGAATTAGGCCCGAGGTATTAATTATTAAGAGCAAAACAGGGTAATAAATTGCTAGTCATATTGTAATTATCACTATATTACGGTGATTTGGTGAATTTTCTTTCAACCCATCATAATTAAACAATTTTTATTTAAAACTCATAAATTTCTGTTCTCGTTTAATTTAGTTAACATTAAAATAAGTATGTTGTAATTAATAAAACGATATAAATACATACAGTTGCAAATAAACAACAAAATACGAGTGTCCTTTTTTTGTCTTTGATTGTTGTTTACTAACTGCAGAAAAAAAATCAGTAGTGTAAAGTAAATTTTTGGTTAATTTTAGTGTGATTATAAGTTTTTCATTATAAAATTTTTTTAATTGAAGTACCTCAACAAAGCCATTGTAAAGCTCAATGATTCAGCACTTTTATGCCATTAATACTTTGATACAATTGTGGGGTCGTTGATGTGAGAGATGTGGTACCACTATTTCGTTGACGGTCGCGGGTTCGATCCCTGCCTTATCCACTGGTGTTTTTAACAAAGGTGGTCAGTACGTCCTTACAACAGTTGAGTTGATACAATTCAGTCATATTAAACTTCAAATCAACTTAGTATCCAGTTAGTATATTTAGTTTTTTTTTTAAATAACTTTTTCTTGATAATACGCAACGGCCCAACCCAGAATTAATTGGCTTAATCGATATAATCTCGTTGCCGAAAGGACTAAAATCAATAAAGTAAGATGACATTTACTGGTGAAAGTTTATGAATTTGGATATTTTCTGCTTTGAAAAGAGAAGGTTCACTGGACTACTGGTCAAAGAGTATTAAATAACATCTGAATAAAAAGTCATAAATAGGCGTATAGCATGATGTAAATAAATTTTCTTTTTGAATGAATTTTAGCCAGTTTTATCATTACTAGTTTTCCTTCTTTTCATCCTTTGGTATGAGTTTAGTATTACTTTATTCTAAATTGTCATGTTATACGTGTTTTTATTAGTTAGACGTGGGTGAACTGTTTTTCATACTCGTTAAATTAGACATTGTAGGTTTTGGTGTTAAAGAAAGTATTTTAAGTGAAAAGTCGTAACGTTTCTGACTCGATACTCAAAAAAATTCCGAACCGAAATTGACACATCTCTTTCCATGCAGTAAATTACGAAGCGTTTAGAAATGTTCGTGACGCTTTTAATAGAGCAAAGAACTCAGTTGCAACCCTACGCGACTTGAATAAATTCGGCCTTGTGCTTTGAATTTCAACTTTTGACCAGGCGGAACGCCTAGTTTCTATTTCAGTCTTTGTAAACAAACCGAATGCGGGAAAATAAGTTATCGGCCGTTTGGATTTGGCTAAAGACTTAGACGATTTGCTGAGCAAGCCAAAAAAAAAAAATTATCTAAAATAATAGAATGACTTGCCAAACTTTAGAAAATAGGTTCTTGGAACCTGTATGAACGAAGGTCTATGTACTACAAAAAGGAGTAGGATGTGCATGGTTAATGGTATAAAGAATATGACCTAGGATACATCTTTGCGGGACACCAGATTATTATTAATAACCGATCGTGGCAAACCTTGACAAAAGCCATCCAGGAAATATACATATTGTTTATTGTTTAAGTTCTAGAGATAAGCGAAATCATCAAGTTTTATAAGGTACATCACAGGAAGTGGCGGACTCGGCTGGAGCGAAAGAGAAAGAGGGATGCTTAACATCAATGTTTTTAAGTCCGTCAGATAAGTACAGTGAATAATTTAGTAAGGTAGTCAGCAAAATAGCTTTGTCTTTCTCGTCGTTTCTCGTCAAATAAAGGACGTCGTATATTTGAAAGATTGTATTCTTTTTGTAGCGATTTGTCTTCTGGAGATTTCCATCTTTTCGGACGTCATGGTGCAATTTTAACTTATCTGTATTTTGGGGGCTTTTGGTTTTTGAGAAGTGAGTCACATAGTTTTGTTTTCTTTCATTGTCCCTAAATGATGTAATATGTTCGTGTATTTCCCTGACAGTCTGTTCGATGATTTTTCCCAACACACAAGTTATTGCCTCAGACGTGATCCAACTGGTCAAACAAAAAAATTTTAAAAATGCCTGAGACAAAAGCAGCCATGATGATTAGGAGACGACCAAATTTTCATAACTCCGCAGACTTTTCAATTTTAAATACTAATAAATAAAAGCCTTAAAAAAACATATGTTTTTATTTCAGTAATAAGTTTTATCCAAGTGTCATTGTACTAGATAGGGATCACTTCGGTATGGGAACCATAAACTGGCCGATAAACAGAAGAAAAGTGCAACTACGCTGAGGACGAGCATCGTCATAGAAGAGGTTATATCATTAAGACGAATAATCGAATGACTGGAAATGAATAAATTATTCAACGCGAAAAGAAAGGCGAACACGGAACATCTTAGCTTCTGCGGCGATTCCAAATAAATGAACCTTAAAAATGAAATAGTGGCAACTGCATTGCCCAGGCACAAGGTTACGATCTGAGGTAGTAAGTACACGTACGTGATCCAGATAGCCTTTTCCAGTACGAACATTGATACGTTCGGGACGTTTTCCCTCTTAAATGGAAAAACGGCATAAAGATCGTTTTCTATTGAAACCAGTTGGGAACTTTCGTGACTGCCGAATGACTCGATATCTACTGCAATCTTGTACTCGCCAGGCCTGACGCTTATCACATTTCGGTCCTCGGTGGCTTTGTTGCTGAAGGTCACACCGTGGACCGGATCCGTAAACGTACATTTCGCAGTCAAACCGAACGGAACTACGACGTAGATCAGAGACTCCAAATCTCCGTTGAGCCTGTGGTATAAAGTCGGTACTTTGTTGAACAAACTTATATTTTCTTCTGTAACCAACAAGCTCACTATAGGAACACTGCTCACGTTGAAGCGTAGGGCTTTGAAGTCTTCTTTGTTGTTTTTCTTCGAAAAGTAAATACTGTCGCTTTTGTCGTTGTACACGACGTCTTTGAGGAGTGTATACCCGTACTTAGGAACCGTGTAGTTCTGTACACTGGACTTGATGTATATTTCTTTTCCGATAGAGTTGAAGACCCTGATTTGCAATAGACCATCAGTCGGTATGTACACAAGCTTATTTAGCATAAATTGCTGACAGAATATCGCCATACATAACGACAATGTAAGAATAGCATAGCCCGTTACAAAAATATAAGTGTCCCTTTTTAAAAATTTTGAAAAAAACGGAAAAAGACCAAACTCGACTATCGGAAACAACATAATTTTAATTACTATTATTAAAAATATTACATCGATTTTGTCCAATATCTGAAAACTATTTTTTTTAACAATGGCATTTTGCAATACAGTCAATTCCGTGATAAAATAATTCAGATAGGTAAAAGCAACTCCGAAAATAAGGAATGGCAATATTTTGTATGCTTCGTACGTCTGTGATATTTCGAATTCGGTATTTTGAGGCCTCGCTTTGCTCAACCAATGTTGCAAATTATATCTGGGAGTTAACTCAGATTCTGTACAAAACTTTTCTCCGCTGGTCAGATGCAGACATCGGTTCAACTTATACTGACAATTATTTGTATCCGCAAAATGTACCCGGTGGCCTCCTACAGGCGGTTTCTTGGGGTTTTTATCCTGATAAATCAGTTGTCCCAGTGCTCTACAGAAACAAGCCGCGCATCTGTTCGAAATCCCGTAGTAAATCGATTCGAACATCATCATCGCTCCGAGGCAGCAAGGAAACAACACGAAATAGATCAATATACCCAGAAATGCTAACGTACAAGTCATTAGAGATATAAGTTCTTGTGGTTGAGCATTTATAACAACTAGGCTGAAACCTCTTGCAACAAGTCTCGCGAAGACTAAATAAAATAAGTACCTTCTTAAATGCACAAGTTTGAATTTCACCTGTTCGAGTAATATGACGTTTCTAATCGGCGATGTGACCACGTAAATCAATAAAGAAAACATCGACGACAACATAACAATGTCTTTGGCCGTTTTTCCCAATTCGGTAAAGTAGAAATTACAGCAAAGGCCTGATATGAAAGAAAAAAACAGGCCGATCACTGTCAGATGATACTTACCCACATAGCTGTCTGCAAGGTATGCGAAAACAAGCGCGATAACCGAACAAATCACAAGCGCGAAGTAGTAAGAATAAGGTACTGCGAAGTCCAAACTAAGTTCATATCCGATATTTAAATTCGTGAATGATTTCATTATGTCGATTGAATACGAAAAACAAGCGTCTGTCAATACAACTGAATTTATGGTGCCCATAGCTCACAACAGAATCGAAAGATAATTTACTTACATATGTCATTTACATTTATTCTCTTAATATATTTACACCTAACATGTGTTTATCTTTTTTAAATTATAAAATCACCTTTTATTATTATTTCATTTTTTTATAACCGTACTATACCTAATGTCATACATTAAAGATATTTAGTAAATATGTAATAAAGAATTAATTAATGTGGTCTTTGTAAGAATAAACTACTAAGGGATTCACACTACCAATGATCTTAGATAAAAATGAGGAAACAGTGGAACTCACTCATTCGACACCAACAATCCAAGAAACTATTAGTGAGTGTCAGAAGGAAAGAAGCAATAAATGAATCAAAGGAAACAGAAACAACTTCGATCCTAACAGTATTTTTAACAATGCACATCGAACTGAACGGGATATTGAGAAAGATTGGTATAATCCAACACGGTGCAGAAAGCCGAAAAGACACAACCTACTAAGACACTGTCAGCTACTTGCCCGCAGGAGTAAGTGCTTTGGATGTTCAACGTAAGCGTAGAAGAAATTCACCCATTAAAACAGACCTATTAATTTCCTCGATGTACTATGACTATATGTAAATAACAAGGGATAAAATAACTTTCGAAGAACACAACACGAACATCTCATGAGGATGCTGCGGTGGTTTATCATTGTAATGTGGAGCTTCTCACCTTTATGTTTACGATGGTAAAACGTGAATTGTGAAGTGGAATTGATTGCAGCATTTCGTACAAATAGCGCTCAGATTATCATTCTTAAGATTCTGTTTTGGCAGTTTGTCGTTTGTACCCTCTGCAAGTGCTGCTGAGAGCCATAAGCATCAGGGGAATTGCCGAATAAGACGAATTACTGATGTATTAGCCTGGGTGTAATATACTGTGATATAGCACACCGGTGAGTCCTATTTCATCAAGGAACTTGATTAGAAGGCCCGGTTTCATTGGTTGAATTTCTTATACATTCACATTGTACATCCCAAAGCACTTCCTCCTGCGGGCAAGTGTGGCACCACAATTTGTTAATAGGTGTGTTGGTGTCTCCTCTGCCTCTTTGCAATTACTGATAGATACAACTGTCGTTTAGCTTCAAGTGCTAAGGGTGATCGCCATCAAGGATGTACCTTAATTTTCTCTTTAGAGTTTCAAGGTGCCTGACACATGATAGCTTTGCTTCCAAGTATAATCAATCATATAAATCAATGTGTAATCACTGTCCGAACAAATACAGCTTATTGACTTTATAGATTTCATAATTCTATAATGATAATTAATTAATTATAATTAATTTCATTAAGGAAAATTTATAAACTTAAAAATAAACTACTTGAGCTATTAACATTTTAAAAAATCTGCAAATGTATTAACTGTAATAGGTTAATAGATTTATTTAAATAATATTATTAAGAATGACAGGGTAAGATTTATAACTCATTGTGAAAGACCCAAATTTGCTAGGATTACAATCCTATGGCATATTATATTTTCCCACTCAGGTCACACATATTTGGTGATGTAACCTGGTCTATTTTTCTATGTCTATGTTTCATCAGCTGTAAGCTCTGGTTTAGTAAAATAAAGTGCTAATTAATCCATCAACCCTATTAAAACAACTGTAATTATTATTGGATAAGGATTATTGCTAACCAAAATATTGTATTTTTATGTACTGGATTTATGGTAGGTGATCAGATATAATGAATGTTTATAGACCAATAGTTAATTTGATAATTATTCGTTGAGAGCAGTGAACTCTCTACTACCATTATTTCAATTGTCCTGCCAAGAAGCTTAATTTTTTAAAATAGTTAATTGAGTAAAATAGTTTTTTTGAGGAGTACTATGCATGACCCAGAAATTTGGTCTATCTGTGCTATTTGTTTTGTCAAAATAGTTTCAGCTTTGGTTTAGTTGTGGGTGTATAAGTTGTTTTGCATCGGAAATGACCAAGCTACAAGAACATTTAAATGAAACAATAATAGTAAGTATAAAAAATAAGCTAAATAAACGACGGTGGGTTACGGTTTTTCAATATTTATTGCATATAAATAATATTTACACTTAATTTTATGAGTATATCAGTGGTGGAAGAATGTTGGGCCGGCGTAAGCCAAAGGAGCAGCATGGGCTACAACAGGAGCTGCGTGGGCGACTACAGCGGGGGCGGCGTATTTAGTGACTACGGGGGAAGTATAAGCGACAGGGGCGGCGTGGGCGACAACGGGAGCGGCATGGGCGACGACGGGGGCGGCGACGGCGGCTTTGACTACGGCGGCTTCCTTGTGTACGACGGCGTTGAAACCGTTGACGGGGTCGGCGGTGTATTCGACGGTACGACGGGTGCCGTCGGGTTCAACGAGGGAGTAGCTGCCCTGGACGACATCTCCGTCACGGGTTTCGTGTTGGCTCTTGGAGTCACCGGTGAGGGCATCCTGGACGTCGTAGGCGTAGCTGTATTGGGGATGGGGGTCGTATTCGTCAGCGACGACAGTCTTGGCAAGGACGGGGGCGGCTACGACAGCCTTGGCGACGGGAGCGGTGTAAGCGACGGGGGCGGCGTAGGCGACGGGAGCAGCTACCCTGGCGACAACAGGGGCTGCGGCGTAACCCACCGGAGCGCTGACTACTCCAGCCCTAGCTACAGCAATTACGGCGGCGAAAACAAAGAACTGAAACATTTCATCCATGATTAGAACATTCTTGTACATAATAGTACACAGACTACTTCAGTTTTTCATTTGATCCTGAGTTTTTTCAGTCTGTACCTTGAATGCCATGGCGGTTGATAACGCAAGTTAATCAATGGTGACTATACTACCACTGTTTGACCCTTATATACTTCTGTGCCCCGCTTCTCTTACGCAAGTTTCCCCACGACGGAGCGGCACGACCTTGCCAAGGCCGCTGACTGACCCACATAACACACCCTCTTCAAGCATTTGGACGACTACTTCACTGCTCCTCAACATACAAAATATCCATTTAAAATAATTTAGGCGATGTATAGTAGGCCTATGTGCCATGTATGACATGACTGGGAATTCCCGTCTCTTGAATTTCAGCATATACCTCATACCCAACATCTCTGAGCACACTTATGCCAAGTTACACTGAGTTAGGTTTTACAGGTCGTTTCGTATCAATTCCGTCTATTTTTGTCTGGTAAACGCTGTGTATCCGCCAAACGTTAGAAATCCTCCAATATAAATATAATACCGACATTTAATCACCACATAAATTACTTCAGTATGGTCCATCGAAACGGTTAAACCATTTCCTTCATTTTTAACTATGGAAAAATTGAAAATTTAATTCTTCCTTATTTTCGGATCAAGTATGTATACCGTCAATCTTCTCTCGGAGTAAAATATGCTGAGAAAACAGAGACTCTTCTGATATGTTATAACTGAATGTAATTTCTGTTTATAACCATTGTTTTAAGGCTACAACCGCCTGGGCTATGATTGTAAACATTAATTGAACGATCCTAACAGGAATTATAGTGTAATTTATGGTTTAAAACATACAAAATTGATTAGTTAAGCTTTTTTTAAATTAAAACTTATCCAATAGTGTGAAGCTCGAAAAATATTATCTAAACACTTTTTTTACGAGGGTTCCCAACAGTAGAGGTTGCACTGCCGCTGGATTCGAACCCAGGACCTTTGCCTTACAGTTATAAGCGCAGTGTCAACGCTTAGACCGTTGCGGCCACCGACGCCCCTAAAACTCTTATTGTCTAATTTTTTTATTGCTCACTGCAGGATATTTAAACAGTACTTTAACTTACTTCTTCTAGGGACGCATTGACTTCACTCTAATTTGCTTACTATTTCTAAAATACTTAACTACTTAATTGACAGTCCTTCTTTACTTAGCCCAATCTACACCGAGCTGCTAGACCAGGCATTGCAGACTAAAGGACTATTTGTTACCATTCTACCAACTACTTACTATGTACTATTAAATCCTCCTCTTGACAAAATTATGCGTACTACAAATGATTTTCCTCATTTTCTTATATTTAATTCTTCCCTTTCCAAAAGCAAGTTCGCAGACAAGTAAATCTTCATTTATATTGTATTTTAAGTTATATTTTCTTTCACAATTACACAGTTTTGATTATTTATTATAATATAATTTTTAGGTATAAATTAATTAACTTCTAATTATATTCAGAGATTTAAATTAAACGCGCAAAAGCGCATTCCCGAGTTGTTTATAAATGCTTTGTTTAAGCAACTTCATAATCCCTAGAGTTCAAGATAATATCGAGATTAAACTGACAGTAGATTATGCAGATTTCTTTTCTCAGTTCTTAAGATTTAGGGGAAATCATGATATGTTCAAGGTTTCCGCAGTTTGGCATCCCTCGCATAATGGTGACTGTTTCAATCCAAAATCGTTGCAGAGGGCATGAACCTTTCACAGTCTACAAATGGAGCAACAAAAAGCCTATCCTACCCTTGTGCCAAAAACCATAATATTTATCCTCAGTAGCGGGCGTCGGTGGCTGCAACGGTTTTAAGCGTTAGGTAAAGGTCCCGGGTTCGAATCCAGCGGCCCTGCATTCGAAACCGACAAACCTACAAATGTACTTTTCTTCAAAAACACCGGCACCCCGAGGGTTGATGTGACCTCTGCGGTTGCGAATCCTTGTAAAAAAATACTCTTAGTATGGTTTATTTTTGGGTTTTTTAACACTTAAAATTTCATTTAGTGGAAGTCTTACTTTTAGGTCCTCCCCTTTTTAACCGTAGCTTCTTGGGCCAGCTCGTTTCCTTCTGGGTTACCCTTAATCCCAGCATTGAAATTGCTGGTCCATTACGACAACCATTGTTTTATTATTGCCATTAACATACATTTTCTCCATTATACTAGAACTAGAGATGAAATTAATGATGAAAGGACAACCATATTTTTTTAAGATACTGATTCTTTGGTAATACGACGAATTTTTCTAGAAAATTAGAATTTTTACACACTTTGGAAATTATTAATTATACAATGATAGGCCAAAAACCAATATGTAATTATTGTTCGACAAGCCACTTTATTATATATAATTTATGTGCTTGCTGGACGGAAATAACATGAGAGTGCTACTGTTGAAACATGAATGGCCAGGAAGAATGGATGCCAAGTTGTTCAGAAGAAATTAATGATGAAACATCGCGACTCTGATGAGCAGTCAGTCGCTCATCAATATTAATGATCAACCCTGTTTGCTAACGGCTGTGTAGAGGCCCTCTGAATTTCTCCCGTCCTGTGTCAATTGCGTAACTACTATGGCGACACCTGTGCCAATACGGTTTGAGCTTTGTTTTCTTATCCGAGTTATATTTCAGTTACGACTGATTTATCACTTTCCAAATTTAGACAACGATCTGATTCATTATCATATGCAAACGTGGAGTATAAATTGTGCATGTCATCTTGGTAAAAGTGTGGATATAAAATACAGTTTAAGCAGTTAAATGGTCTTATATCGTTGAAAGCTGTAGAACTGTTTTTAGAACTGGTCATCAGGTTGGTCATCGACCAATAAAGTCCGCCTTGTTAGGTCATTATTTTTTAGAATATGGTCAATAACTGATCAGGGGTCATTCTCATTATTCTTATTAAACATTATATTCCATATCTAAACTGTCAGGGAAGTGTATGTTTTGTTCCTCTCAGTAAAATTACTCTGAACTAAGGGCCTACTCCCAAATCTGACTGCAGATGTTCAGATCGTGAGATGCGGTCTGGTGTGACGTAGGTTTTAGAAAAACATTTTCTTTATCGTTCCAGGCCCTGAAGATGATCTCAATAAAGATCGAAACGTTGGCACGGTAAATAAAATGTTTTTCTAAAACCTACGTCACACCAGACTGCATCCCACGATCTCCAAATAATTACAAAAATAATACATATAATAATACATAAATTAAATTAAACCCCATTATTTTTACAAATAGCAGAAAATGCTCTGAGTATCCTGCATTCAGAAACGCAACTTTTGGTTGGGCCAATCTGTAGTTTCTTGTAAAAGTAATTCTGTACCATCTTCAACCTAATAGACGCGCTCCACTACAAGGCCATCAGGAGTTACCTATTGTCTTAAAGCGGTGTAGATATGCCCTGCTTTTTTTTAAATCATCCGCTTATTAATTTGGCCTACTGGGCTATAATTTGAAATTCAGAGTTCAGTAAGCTTATTCTTTAGTTCGTTGATCTTTTTCGGCAATTTTTTACTTGTTAACCTTTACATCCATCATTTTTTCTTTACATTTTAATAAACAAATAATTTTGGAACTTTAAACAAAATTCAACTTTCTTACTGCAGTTCTTACCCTTTAAGTCTTCTCCCTCATTCCCTAAGCCCCCATTATCCGCTTTGACCCAGCCCTTATTTTCTACATGGTTGACCTCTCTGATTTATTTTGCCGTTGATGTAACATTTATTGTGTTAGAGTTGCCTTGGACTGATACTTGTCAGTTTTTATTGCAATTATTGTCGCATCTACAGAAGTAAGACCTTAAATATTGCTAATACTTCCTCTTAATTATTGGAGCACGAGTCAGTCAGCTTAAATCAAAGAACTTGTCCAGTCGATTCCCTCCCTTCCCTGAATATCACAACGCTAAAACCCACTTGATAATCTGCCATCAGTCTATCTAAAACCCACGGGCTTCCATTAGTGAAGATGTAGTGAGCAGAATGAGGTGGTTCCGATTTTATGGCAGTGGTAGGTCAATTTTAATTGAGGTCTTATTTTCTTAGCTAAGGCTTCCTTCATACCTGCTATAGCTTCTTTAATTTTTAATTCATAATCTCAATAAAATGGCACTCAACTTTTAAATGTAGAAATCACCCGAAATACCTTTTTTCATTCATTTTTATTTGTTGCGACCATTTGTTAATTTTACAGTGGCTAATAAATATAACACTCATTAGTGTCCTAATCTAACCTCAGTGTAACATAAGTCAACCTTGTTACAAACCATTAAAAAAATTAATTCAAACGGTTTGGTCCTATTCAGGCGTCTTACAATTTGCTAGCAACCTAGCAGGTTACTTGCCGTGGAGTTCAGGTGGCTTTGAAGGCGTTGCTAGCACAGCATACCGTGTGATATCAGTGTCGAGGTGCAGGATAATTAGACCTGATGTCACTATAGCGGACATACCAAAGATTAGCTACTAATAACATGAATTATAGCAACCACACCATTCGGTAAATTAAATATAGCAAACTGTTGCCGTGCGGGAAGCTCCACATTCCAAGTCGTCACAGTGGCCGAAATGGAGAAGAATGCTAGATCCACAAACTAGGGCAGGTGTGTGCTAGACATTGGTGCGAGAGAAGAGACGCCCAAAAATGTACCAATAAATTTGGTTTATTTTAAAAAATTTCTTATTATCTGGTACAATTTTGTAATTTAATTATGCCTTTCTCCTAAAGGGGGGAGAAAAGGACCTCTGATATTTAGTCATAACAATGACAATGAAATCCTAATTTCTTTACCATTAGCATCTTTAATTTTTAGTTACTAAATACTGCCCGAAATACTGAATCAATCTCAGATCTTATCCTTCTTTTTTTAAATTTTATTATTATTTTTTCCTTAAACTATAACATATATAGATTTTAAACACGTTTCGACTTTCATGAGTTACATTAAACTATTTCTTTAGAGATCATTTCCAAATTACGGACCGCTTATCCTCACTGTTTTAGCGTGAGAGTTGAAAAATCAAACAGATTTACCAATCAAGGTCGCGAAAGGCCGATGGTTCTCTATAGGTGCCTCACTCTGCTTATATC